GTTTCTGTTTTTCCTTTTTAAAAACCCCATGCAAATATCATGCCCTATTTAAAAATTGCAGCCAGCATGAATGCGTTGCTTTCTCTTTGATAATCTGTTCACATTTATTAGAACGGTATAGGGCTCCTTCACCAATTGAGGGTATTAGCTATTGTCCTTAGGGTGAAGCCTGGCATGTGGGTGCTACTCAATGTATTTCTTGAATTTATTCAGTCAGAACTCATATTACATACACCAGATACTGTTGAACACTGAGTGACAAAGATGAAAAACAAACAATAGCAACAAAACCCAGACATAAACTCCCACCCTCATGCTGCAGTTTCAGAGCAGGTACTCTGCTGACTTGTTGAAATGAGTGTTAGCCTGCCTTTAGTATCAGGCATCTTCTGCTTCCTTTACTAGTGATGGAAGGCCTGTTACAAGTTCTGAGATGTCTAGAATCTTGCATTTGGGAATCTGTTCTCCTTAATGCTGTCATGTGGATGTCAACAATGTCTTGGGCTTCTTTTATCAAATCTGAGACACTGTTGTTGACAAGGCAGACATGCCACATATAAACACTGTGGTAATTTAAATAAGAAGGGCTCCCATACACTCATGTGTTTGAATGCTTAGTCATCAGGGAGTAGACTGTTTGAAAGGATTAGGAGGTGTTGGAGGAGGTATGTCACTGGATATGGGCTTTGAGGTTTTAAAAGCTTGAGCCAGGTCCAGTGTCTCTCTCTGTGTCTCTGTCTCTGTGTGTGTGTGTGTCTTTCCCTCCCCTCTCTCCCTGCCTGTGGATAAAGTTGTAGCTTTCAGCTATTTCTCCGGTATCATACCTGTTTGTAGTGATATTTATAATTTATTAAAGTTTGCCCAAAGATTCAGAATAATCACCACATGGATGGAACCTGAATCATACTAAGAAATGCAGATGTATTGGAGCAGAGTTAGGGACCATGGAGAAGAAATATGTTCTTTTAGTTTTACTGACAGAAAACTTACAAGTATGCAAGTTTATGTAAAAGTTATTAGACAAAGGAGATGCAAGTTCAGAATTTATCAGTTTGTTGAACAAAATGAAAGTAATAATGCATAGACTAGATTACTGGTAAACATTAGATTTTTCTCGCTGTTTATGACCTTCATGCATTTGAACTAAAATGTGTTAGTTTTTATATAAAAGCTGTTTCACCAGCATCTTCAGGATAAGGTAGATTCAGTTCCAGACTTGATCTCAGACTGAAATACTCTGAAACAGTAACCTGGCTGCACCATCAGAGTATCCATACTTAAAGGTCATGGGATGGCTGCAATGTCAGAGTACCAGTACTTATTCTTACTGTGTAAAGTTTGATAATTCTTGTCTATTCTGTCTTGTTTATGGGGTCAGAAGCAAAGTTGGGAAGTAGGGGAATGATATGCTTAGCCTGGAATTATTTCCCTAGTTTCTTAAAAAGCTAGTCACTTCCTCCCAAACAAACAAACAAACAAACAAAAACTCCTATGCCTAAGCTCAGGGAACATTGTGGAAGAGAGATGTGAAAATATTGTAAGAGTCAGAGGATAAGGGGATTTTCTTTGAGATTGTTCTGCTAATAATATCAGAAACTACTCATAAAGTCTTACCAGTATGACTACCTAAAAGGAGCTGAACAAGGACAACAGTAATAGACATACATGCCAAAGTGGATGGGATGAATCCCACAAGGCCTCAACCCTACCCAAAGAATTATAGTCAACTAAGAAATTCTGAGAGTAGGAGAAATAGTTTTCCCTGAGGAAGAGTACACCAGTTGGTCATCTAATACCAAGTGGCCAGCACTGAAAATATACATATAATAGCATTATACAGACCGAGCAGGTTGTGTTCAAGAATATATATATGCACTTAACAACATCAGTGATAAAAGAGGCCATGAATTTGAAAGATAGCAAAGAGGGTTATGCGGGAGGGTTTTAGAGGAAAAGAGAAGGGGGAAATTATGTAGTTATGTTATAGTCCCCAAAAAAGATAAATAAAACAAATTCTAGTCACTTACCATATCAGCATTTTAGGACATGTGCACTTAACTTCCCATCTGAGTGTTTTTGTCCAAGTCTGATGTGCTCTGTTGTTTTCATACAGCTTGGTGGATGTGGAACCCATTCCTAGAATCCTAAAGGCCTGTCTGTGGGCCTGCTCAGGAACATGATCCTCAGAAAGGAAATGTAATAGATGTCTTGAGATTCTTCTGGGAAAGTATTCCTGTCAATGAAAGGGATTTACTACAGAAATGTCTATCTTCTTCCATTGGACATTGTCATCAGCATGTGATACTACGAATGGCCCTCATTAAATCAAGGAGAGTGAACATAAGATAAGAACACAGTGGGGAAGTCTGTGATCACATAAGTCAAGACAGAGCCTAGTTCTTGTCTAGTAGAACTCAGTTCTACTGGGGGCAGACAGACAAGCAAGTATATACTTTATTAGAAGCAAAAGTGTCAGTGATGCTAAGTTCTATGTTTCAAAAGATGGGCAAGCCAGGCCTCTCTGAGAAGGTAATATTTTCTCAATATTTACCCAACAAAGATAACGAATTTGGAAGAACATACCAAACAAGGAAAAGGAGGTACAATTTGCCCTGAGTGTATTTAGAACACATTGTGTTCAAGGAACTATGAGGAGCCCGGTGTCTGGAACTGGGGAGTAGTAGGAAGAACAGCTGGAGATGAGTGAGAGAAGTAGCAGGGTACTTGCCAAGGACTTTCAGCTCTTACTGTAAGTGAGATGGACATATGTAAAGGTTTGGGAAGAAGAGGAGTAGGAGACCTATGGTGGAGGCAGTGACGATAAGCTACAAGGAAAAAGTAGTGCTTTCTGGACCAGAATACAATTTGAGGTCACCCAGGAATAAGTTCAAAACTTTTAATTCTCATGAGAAACTTGCAGCAGGAGCCAAGTTGCCCATTCCATTGTGAATGCAAAGAAGTCTCCATGGAGTTCTTCACTCCAGAGACTTCTGTCCAAAAGTTCATCAAATTGATTTTAGATCATGTGTATCCAAATGATGTACACTAATGCAAGTGTCTTCAACAAATCTGTGTGATATGCAGGTGAATTTGATTGGATGGTGTGTTGGGGCTTTTGTTTCTAGAGATATTTGCTTAGTGCTGTGGTTATGTGAAATAGTTATAAGTATTTTATTCTTGAATAAAGTTTTACATACAATGTAGCTTTTAGTTGTTTGTGGTGGGGGATTGTTTTTCCATGTTTATTTTTGTTTTAAAGTCAGTGTTAAGTACAGAGGGGAGTTCTTCGAGACATTTTCTAGTAAGACATAATAAGTGACAGTTCATTCTCCAATGCATGAACACATACTTTACTGGCTGTATAGGAAGTGTGCTTACCTTTAACACCAGGAAACACATCTCTTGTTCAATGCTTCTTTCCAGGTTGTACATGGATTTCTATATAGGGTCAATATTCTTCATCGAGTAACTAAAAAACAAATCTGTCACAAGTCAGTGCTTTAGTTTTAGCCACAAATCCTTTGAATCAAGAATGGACACTTCCTATGAATATTCATTGTGAAAACTATACTATGAGCTCCACTGAAGAAAGGTTTATTTTTGGAAGCAGGATTTATTCTCTCTCTCTCTCTCTCTCTCTCTCTCTCTCTCTCTCTCTCTCTCTCTCTCTCTCTCTCTCTCTCTCTCTCTGTTTATCAAGACAGGATTCCTCTGCAGCTTTTGGAGCCTGGCCTGGAACTCACTCTGTAGACCAGGCTGGCCTCGAACTCACAGAGATCCACCTGCCTCTGCCACCCTGGTGGCAATAAAGTTGTGTGCCACCACTGCTGAGTGGAAACAGGATTTTAAAAATGGATTCTTTTGAATTACCCTAAGTCAAAGAAGAGCATTCTTAGCCTTTTATGGGAAGGAAGTGCAGGTAGTAGAGGAAGGGGAGGCCTAGCATTTGTGAATTTCCTTAGATACCAGTAGTTACTTCATTGTTGCAGAGGATGCTGAGGCTCCTAGATGATGTTTGTTTTGCTCATAGTCATTTTATAAAGAAGTATGGGAATGAGATTAGCATCTATGTCTGAGTGACCTCAAAGCCTACATTCTTCAAAGAGTTTGGTTAGTGAAGGTAGAAGTAAACATTGTATGCTACTCTTGGTGAGTATGTTTCCCTGGGTCTTTCTTATTTCCATCAGTACCTCTTGGGACATCAATGGCCTTGAGAAAAGGAGAGCACTGAGATCATTTTTATGTCATGTTGTATATTTATTACTGTGCACTTTTTGTTTCTCTTTAAATGTGATTACTTAACCAATCCAAAAACCTAGTAAAATCACATTCCTCTTACTAAGATGAACTTTTTATTTAATGTATCACACTTTAAGATACTTTATAACAGAGCTAGAGAAGTGGTTCAGCAGTTAAGAGCACTGGCTGCTGTCCCAGAGGACCCTGATTCAATTCTCAGCATCTACATGGCAGCTCACAACTGTCTGTAACTCCAATTCCAAGGAATCTGGTACCCTTACACAGATATACATGTGTGTAAAACACCAGTGCACATTAAAAAAAAAAAAAGAAAGTTTTTTTTTAAAAGGCTACTTTATAACATAAAGACTTCCTCCTGGGATTAAGAGGCATCCATTTGCAATTAAAATTAAAAAAGGAAGTGATATATAATGTTATGATATGAATCCTGTTTTGTTATTTGTGACTGAGTCCGAAAATCTAGTTACTATTATTGATTAACAAGAGGAGAATTGACAAGGCACATTAAATCAGCCTATTGATGATGCTGGGACTGTAAGTTGCTGAACTATTGTTTTGTTGACTTTTTGTCATCTCTTAGATAGTCTCATGATTGCTTAAAATTATCCTCCTCTAAATGTCATATCAAATTGGGGCGAAAGTTTGAAAGGATAATTTTATTCAGTGATTTAATCATAATTGCCATGTGTTAATTTTCCTTTTTCTCATCATTTGTCCTTTTTTTTTTTTTTTTCTTTCAGAAGAAAAATTCAAAGTGGAAACAAGGACCATCGCTGTTGACTTTACATTGGATGATATTTATGATAAAATTAAGACAGGCCTGGCTGGTCTTGAAATTGGCATTTTAGGTTTGTATTTTTGTCACATTTATGACTCATTCTTTGGCTTTCATTGTGTCTTTAATTTCTCTTTGGAGGTTAGGTATTTAGTGATAAGATGGTTACTGACCCAGCTGGTCAATAGTGTATACCTAACTTGAAGCTTTGTCTTGTAGATCAGTGACTTTACAGTTTGGCTATTTTTCTTGTTTGTTTTACTTTCAGTCCTAGCCACTCTGTATATATTAAAAATAGTGAAATGTTGGGCTTGGTAGTAACACCAGTCATCCCAGTACTCAGGAAGCAGAGGCATGCTTGTATGATAACTGTCCTTTAAGGTGAATGATGCTGACCATTCATGGCTAAGGAGATGAAGACCCAGGAAAGTTGGTCACTCTTGGTCCCTGCAAAGCCTTTGTAGATACTGTTCTGTCTCAGCCCCATGAAATACAAACACCAAAGAAATACTGTTTTTATCTATGCTTTATGCAAAAAAGAACTTCCATAAACACTCTTAGTTTCCATTGCTGTGAAGAGACCATGACCACAGCAACTCTTATAAAGGGAAACATTTAATTGGGGTTGGCTTATAGTTTCAGAGGTTTAGTCCATTATCTTCATGGTAGCATGCAGGAAGACAAGGTGCTGGAGAAGGAGCCATGTTTCCTCCCTTTGGGCAAATAAACCTCAGTTGAAAATGCCTGGTTTTGAGAGACGTGGAATTTGTCTAAAGGGACAGAAAGACTGAGGTCAGTCTGCCTCGTGCTTGTTTTTTCTAAGTGTATTGCTATGTTTTAGTTTACCCTTGCTTGCTCCTACTAGAAAACCAAGTGTTTTTGCTGAAATCATGGGAGCATTGAAGTGTATTATGGAAAAAGTCATCATATGATACTGACAGGGTAGTAAGAGAGAGTCCAAATATCAGATTTTTTTTCTGTGTTCATATATATAATAGACAGTTACATGCATGCTAGTACATGCACACACACATACACACATGATACTAGAGTAGAAAGAGAACTATTTATGAGAAAGAAAGGAACCAATGAGGAGAAGGGAAAGGGATGGAGGGGTACTGAGGTGTCTCTGTTCTCTGTCCACCATGTCTTAAGATGCCCCCTACTAGAACCTGATGTTCACCATTAGGCTAGGCTGGCCACTAGGGATACTCATGTGCTAGAATTACAGTTGTACACTACTTACCTGCTGGACAGGAAACAAAAACAAAGCTAAATCTAATCCCGAAAGGATCTGAGAACAGCACTGGAAGAGCAAGCAGCAAGGCTTTAAAAAATTCCTTGTGACAGCAAAGACTAATGAAGTGAGCCACACGGAAAAAGCTCAAGCCAATGGACAAGTTTCAAAAGTGAAGCAAGGGCTGGAGAGAGGGCTCAGTGGTTAAGACCACTTACTGCTCTCTCAGAAGACCTAGGTTTGGTTCCCAGCCCCCACATGGTGGTTTACAGAATGCTGAAAATTGACCTTGGTTGTTCATTGCAAGCGCTGACTATTCTTCCCAGTCCCTATAGAATGTCCTTTTTATACTTTTTCTTTTGGTTTTTTCAAGACTGGGTTTCTCTTTGTAGCAGCCCTGGCTATCCTGGAACTTCCTATATAGACCATGCATGCCTTCAACTCAAAGAGATAGATCCACTTGCATCTGCCTTCTGAGTGCTGGGATTAAAGGTGTGCACTACCATACCTGTCCTCCTTCTAAATAGTTTTTAAAGTCAGTTACCCAAGTATAATCCTATTAAGTGTTCTTGTATTAAGTGTTCTTGGACCTGTAACTAACCTCACCTGCCTAGTCTATGCCGCACATCCTTATGCTTGTCCCATCTGTACACATTCTACTCCTGCCTCACTTTTTATTTAAAAAAAAAAAAATGTGGTAAAAGATGAATAAAAACCCAGGATTAGTTTTCACCTTTGTGTCTACATGTTCTTTTGTAAAACATACATTGGGAGAAGTCTTTAATAGTTCCTCCTTACCCTACATCTGGAATTCATTAAGCACCTACAATAGTTGTGGGAGTTCCAAAAAAGCAGCTGTAATTTGCTTGTTAATTGAGATCCTGTTATGGTTTAGTCCATGGCCCTCCCTACCTTCAGACTAGTGATTGACTAAGGGATGGTGAAGGCTGTCTTGGGCAGGAAGGTAGTTGATAATCCCTAATGAAAGGAGACTGGGGAATAGTCATCATGTTATGGGAGAATGGCTTGCTTTTAGAAGTAGTTTGTGTTACTGTAATTGTTCTTTATATACCTCAGCTACTTTTCACTGAGTCATTGTGAAGCTTTGGATACTCTAGAATCATGAAATTTGAGATGGGAGATGTTGGACATCAGGTTTGCAGGGCTGGGGGATAGTTTAGGGATTCCTTCCTCATCCACACAGTACCAGAACAGAAGAAAGGTTTCAGCTTGAGTTCAGGCATGGTAAATTTGGTAGGGATAAGGGTTCAGGGCATGTAGTCCCCAAGTACCGCCTGCCCTTACTCCTTCTCCTGATCCCCTTTCTAGAATCCTAGTACTTAGTACATATGCACTGATGGGTATACACAAGGATAGATGTTTCCCCATGTCTGATACTATAATCCAGCTCCTTAATAAGTGGGAACCTGTGAGGTAGTAGTTTGTACTTGATTGTTCATCCATAAATGAGTGAAGTAGAGTTGTTAAAATGAATGAGGAAAGCTGTCTCTGTCTTTATGTAGTATAGTGTTCTATAGGAAAGACAACAATGGGCAAAGTTTTTTTTTTTTTTTTTTTTTTAATCTGGGATAGGGCATACTGTAACAAAAGCTGGGGAAGTTGATAAAATTTGGACATAATTGTGACTTGGCTTAGCCAGTGGGGTCATTGAAAGGAAGATTCTAGAAATATAGGCAGTAGAAGAAGCATGACTTGATGACAGGTTTCATATGGCAAAGAAAGAAAATCTGTAGGTGACAACTTATAAAACACCATTTACTAAAATGAACTATTGAGAAACCTTCTAGGAGTGATGCTCATTTAAGTTTGTAGTTCCTTCAGGACAGTGGTTCTAAACATTTGGTCATGAATCCCAAAAGACCATTGGAAAACAAAAGTACAGGATTCATAACAGTAGCAAAGTTACAGTTATAAAGTAGCAATAAAAGTAATTTTAGTGTTGGGGGGGGGGTCACCACAACATGAGGAACTGTCTTAATGGATCACAGCACTAGGAAGGTTGAGAACCACTGCTCCAAATGGTATTGCAATTAGTTGGGAATGTATATCCACGTTTCACAGTAGATAGTTTGGAGATTGGTTACCTAAGACTAGTTTTTCATTGGAGCAGCAAGATTGGAGATAATTCAGGAAGAAAGCTATAGACAGAGCTCTGTGGATTGCCTTTCCCTCCTCTACTGCAACCAGTGGCATGAAGAATGAATTTCTTTGCATGAGTTCAGCTCTCCTGTAGAGCTGTAAAACAAGGTGCATATGTTCTAGTAAGCTCACACTTTAAATAGATTTTTAAGAACTTCATACTGTATTTTGATCATATTCTCCCTCTATTCCTGCCCTCACCTAATTCTGCCCATGTCTCTCATCTCCCTCCCATTTTCTTGTTTTCTTTATAAAAATAATACTCTATGGAGCCTAATTTGTGTTGACCATTGGTATAGGGCCATCTGTTGAAGCTTGGTCAACCTACAGGGAGTAGCCCCACATTTTGAGCAGGTAAAAATAAACAGATGGGCTTTATTTATAATAATGTCTTTTATTTGAAGTTAACTATTTATTTGAAGTTAACAGAACATTAACACATTAGCCTGTAACCAGTGTAAAAATTACTGATATGGGGCCATTGAAATGGTCCATTGAGTAAAAGTGCTTTCTATGAAAACCTAATAGCATGAGTTTGACTCCCCAGCCCTATAGTGGAAGGAGAAAACAGACTTCTGAAAGTTGTTCTTTGATCTCCGCATTTACCCTATGACATTCACATGCCCATACTGACATTCACACATAATATCAGTAAAATAAGTTTGTTTTTAATATCTGAAAGTTTGTCTTCTTTTAAGTACTAAATCTTTGAAATCTTAAGTGCACCTTACAGTATATTTCAATTCTTACTAGCCATATTTGAAGAGCTCATTAGGTACATGTGACAAATATCTACTTATACTATTTACTCAGCTCCCATTCACCATATTTTATTCTCAGTGTATATGGGGAGGAACTTCTAAGTTTTTCTTACAGTTCTGGAGCTGTCTTTGTCTTTATCTTGCAATGGTCAGCATTTCTGATTGTCACTTCAAAGTGAGGAAAGAGTGGTTCTCTTTGCCCATAGTAGGTCAAGGTCAAGGATACCATTGAGCACTCTGCAGTATGTGTAGAAGATAGCATCATCCCACATCAAAGCACACTGGCCTAAAATGTCAGTAGAGCTGAGTCCAAGAAACCCTGCTGGTTTCTGGTTGAGGGCTGGAGAAATGGCCCAGTGGTTAAAGCATTTGTTGTAAAATCCTAAGAGCCTGAGTTCAGATCCTCGGAGCCTTTGTAAAGTTAGATGCAGTAGTTTGCATTTGTAATCCCTTTCTTCCTGCTGTGAGATGGAAGATGGAGATGGGAGAATCTTTGGAAGCTCATAAGCCAGTTAGCCTCACAGATGCAACATCAAACAAGAGATCCTGTTTCAAACAAGGTAAAAGGTAAGAACAGACACCTGAGGTTGTCCTCTGACCTACACAATTATGTCTACACACACACACACACACTTTCTGACCTACACAATTATGTCTATACACACACACACTTACTGACTGGATACTTGTTGAAACATACTATGGCTTTCATTTTGATTTCTAGTTGTACTCAGATCAATAATAAAAATGATTATTAGCAGATACTCCCATAATTACTGAAAGCGCACTACAGTACTTGCACACATTGTCTTCTTAGCTTTGTTGGGTTCTACTTTCAGTTTGCTTTGTATTCTGTATTCTATCTCCTCGGCCATTGACCCTTCTAGCAAATGTGTTATGTGTATATTGAACTGT